TGCCTTGGTGTCCCCTCTGCAGCCCTGTGGAGACCTGGGAGAGGTGGATCAGCCATGAAGATCCTGTACCTGCTCTTTGCCTTTCTCCTGCTGCTGGTCCAGAATGCTGCAGGTGAGAGAGGAAGAGGGGATTTGAGGAAGCTCCTGGCCCCCATCCCTGGAATCTTCCATGTCCTGGGAAGTGACCACATTATTTGGAAGGATGCAAATGTTATATGGAATTGAGGAAACTGGAGCTTTTCAAGTGAATTTCCAACAGACACAGACGAGGGGTGTGTGGAGCTCCTGGAAATACAAGCCAGGCTTCTTCTGTAGCTCAGGAAGTGAGATGGTTTCAGGTTTCAACTTCGATGTTCCTTTTTTAGTGTCTCTGGATGTTTTCTTGCCCTGTACAGGGATGGGAGAGAGCCCCAGTGGTAGTCGGATTGGTGGGCTGCCTGGGGCATGAGCTGTCCCTTCTCATTTAGTGCTGCATCAACCACGTGTCCCAAAACATGTTGATCCCTTCATGATCCCTACAAGGGCTGGGCAAGGACTTTCCCTCAGAGGTCACACCAATCATGGCACAGCCAGGACAGGCATGTGGGATGTGAGGAGTCCCGTGTTTTTCCAGCAGTGCTGGTGCAGGCAGTGTTGGGAATGCTGTGGGGAGCCAGCAAGGCTCCTCCTCGACCTCATGCTGGTCCTTCCCACTCTCTGCTCTTGTGTGCACCAATTTAGGAGGAAAGAGTCCTTGAAGGTGAGACATGTTGCTCTTGAACATGCCCCCTGTTCTGTGGGGAGGTTGGAGCTGAGCACAAATATTGTCCTGAGATGCACAGGGAATGTCAGTGTTTCTGCAAATGTACACAGCTCTCCCAGACTGTTGATTTAATTGTTCTGAGTCTTTCCCCATAGCAATGGACACAATCCAATGCAAACTAAGTGGAGGATTCTGCGCAGTGGCGAAATGCCCCTCTGGTACAAGACCTGCTGGAAAGTGTACAACAGTTACTGTGTGTTGCAAAAGGTAAGTAAGAGATCCCTGCCTGAAGAAAGTTTTTACTCCTTTTTCCACAGAAAGTTTTGTTACAAATTTATCTCTAGCTAATACCTGCTAAATAATCCCCTGCATTTTGGGTTTGGACCAGCCCTAAGTGGGGCTGCAGGAGACCCAGGTGAGCCCATGCCTCCCCACCCTCCTCCAGAGCCAGGAGGCTCATTCAGGTTTGCAGAGGACTCACCGAAACCACTAAAGAGTGAAAAATTTGTGGTCCCTGGGCAATACCCAGGACATGACCCAGGTTTTGCTGCATCTGCACAGACTTGGAGTCAGGGCTGCCACCACTAAGATAAGCCAGGTCCAAACTGTCTGCCCTAAGGACTGGGCCTCCCCTGCGCTGAGCCTGAGCCTCCTGCACCACAGACTGGATGGTTCTTGCAGGGAAGGTGGGAGAGAGTGGGAGGAAAAGTTACAACAGCTGACATGCTTGTCTGCTTTCTTTGTACAGCACGTGAGGCTGAGACCCTGAAATGTCCAAGCAGGACGTTCCCCTCGCTTCTGGCTCCTGGAACCATCTCCTGATGTCCTCTCCCCTCCCTGTCTCTGCCTTGCCCAGCTGCTGGGACAGCAGCAGTGGCAGCTGCTCCTGCTGGGTGCTGCTGGGCTGGAGACATCTCGTCCCAGCCATGGGCTCTGTGGGGCAGAGGCTGCTTTTCCCAGCTTAAATAAAGATGAGCAGTTTGGCATTGCAGGGGTGGGCCGTGTGTATGTGTCCTTGGGATGGAGGGGGTGCTGTGCCTGCTGTCTGTGGGGGTGGCAAAGGTGGGTTGTTGTGAGGAGAAGCATCTGGGGATGCTGGGAGTGCCCAGTGTGTGTGTCCCTGGAGATGCTCCTGCCTGGCATTGGGGTGGGGACACAGAGCCTGTCAGTGCCTGTTGGTGCAGGGGATTTCCTGTGGGAGTGATGGAACTGCTCTGCAGATGCTCCCTCTGGGAAGCAGGATCTTTGTCCTTGTCCTGCCAGTCACAGTTGTCTCCTGGCCCTGGAAATCATGGGTTCATGTGCAGAGCTGTGCTGGGTGGTGTGTCCCTTGGGTGGGCATGGCCATGGTTGCCCACACGACCTGTCCCTGATGCTGCTCCTTGTCCTGTCCCACTGTGCTCAGCCCCCCTTGCTGTGGGCAGTGCAGGAGCTGTGCTGCCCCATACCCTGTAGCACCAGGCAGGAGGAGGAAGAAGGCATCGACCTGCTGGTCTAGGTGAGCTGTGGAATGTCTCCAACTGCCCCTGGCCTGGAGATGTTCAAATTTTTTTACCTAAGCAGAGTAAACAAGGCTGTCTTGTCCTCTTTGCCTATCTGCAGGCAGTCTGGGATGACAGAGCTCTGCACAATCAAAGGCAGTGGCCTCTCCCTGTCTGCAAAATTAAACCCCAGACTTTAGTTCTGACTTGTTCCATACATGTGTGTGTCCATGTGCAGAGAATGCTTTCACTTTCAAGAATCATAGAACCACATAACTGTTAAGGTTTGAAAAGCCCACTAAGATTATTGAGTCCAACCACTCTCCCAGCACTGCCAAGCTCACCACTAACCCGTGTCCCCAAGTGCCACATCTACATGGTTTTAAATCCCTCCAGGGATGGGCCACAACTACTGCCCTGGGCAGTCTGTGCCAGTGTCTGACCATGCTTTCACTGGAGAAATTGTTCCTAATATTGGGTCCAATCCTGCCGTGGTCTTTCCTTCCTTGTTTTCTCCTCTCCTGACCTCACAGCAGTCACCATGAGCACCCTTCACCTCTGCAGAGCAAAGCTGTTCCCCCACCCCAGGGACTTCTTGGGCCAGAGCATTTCAAGCTGCACTGATGGTGCTGTGGACAGTCAGCTCATGAGTTGCAGAGGGTAGACACAGAAATGGAGAGAAATGGAAAGAAGGAGAGGAAGAAGAAGACTCCCTTTTCTCCTAGAGTACACGAGCTTTTCTTTTCTCCATGTTATTTCCAAAAAAACCCAGACAGACCTCTTAAAGTGAAATGAAAGGTAAAACTTTCTTCTCACTGTACAAAGATCTGCAGGCTTGCAATATTCAGCCTGGCCTTGCACATCTCTGGCTACCTGAATATTTCTAGAATCTCTGAACTGAGAGGACACAAAGAAGGAAACCCTTTCCTCACTGCTACCATTCCCAGCACCAACCAGGATGCCTTGCCCATCCCAGGCAGCTCCTGCCCAGCCTGTGTGTCACAGGACGTGTTGCAGCAGGATAAGAGTGACATTGCAACAGCCCCAGGAGGCACCTCAGCCTCTGCCACTGCAGCAGGGAGGGACGAGGGGCAGCCCCAGCACCCCCACACTGATGGGGCACTCCCTGGTTGGCCAAGGGCACTTGTGTCAACAGAAATAAGAGCATGTCCCACCCACCAGGAGGGGTATAAAACCAGGGTGTTTTAGGCAAAGCAGCATTCCCTGACCCCAAGGCCATCTGGACACACGTGGATCCTATTACTGCCTGAACACCAAGATCCTCATCAGGTAGGTGACTGCGGGGACTCTTTATGGACAGCTGCCCATTACACCTCTCTCCTCAGTTCCTGAAATTTTCTAACTGTGTCGAATTAAGCCATCAGAGCTTTCCGTGAAAGAGGAATAATTTGCTGTATGAGACAGTGATTATCAGTGCCCATATTGTACTGAAGTAAAACTTGGTTTCCTGACTTCAGTTGGGACTGGAAATGTGTCCAGAAGCTTGAGGGATGTCCGTGAGGCCTCATGTTCTGCTACACATGGGGACTGTCTTGGAGAAAGTAGGGAGATGCTATTCAAGCAGCAACACAGAGTTTCCGTTCTTTCAGGCTTCCATTAATTTGGAAGGTTACTTTTCCCCCAGATGTTCCATGATTCCATGATCTAGGGGAAGGCGTCCCTATTCATTACAGGAAGTTGGACTGGATGATCTTTAAAGGTCTCTTCCAACCCAAACCATTCTGTGTTCTATCGACCATAAATGACTCACAAGGAGCCTCCCTCACCAAATGCTGGGCATCTCCAGGGACATGAATTTCCCTCCAGTCCAGAACCTAGGTCAGTTCTCGATCCTGGTTTGACTATTGGCTTTGTGTTGAGTGTTGGCAAAAGCACCTCCTGACAGGCAAACCCTCTCTGCTTTGGTCCTTGGATGAGGAGAGGCAGAGATGTGAGAACAAAAGCAGTAGAAATTCTGTGTTTCATCTGGTAACTGCGTTTACAAGTCTGTCTTGTCCCACCCTTGCCTTTGTCTCTCCAGAAACATATTTATTGCTCCTCAAGAGGTATGTGTTGGATGGAAAAGGCCTGAAGGAGTACAGCTTCCAAGGGAAAATATTCTGTTTGTATTTCCCGTAAGTCGTTGAATTCTGTTTTGCTTACAAGTCCAATAGTATGGCATTAATTCTGCCATGTGTCCTTTAAGAGAATTCCTATGGAATTCACTGAGAATAAGATGATGGGAAATCATCAGATGGATTGCCCAACAGGCCAAGACTTCCCCAGCTGCTCCCAGGGTATAAAAGAGGTGCTTATCTGACAACCATCCTCTGGAACAGGCCACACAGGACACTGTCCCCTGTCACTGGTGATAGTCCCTCTGCAATTTGGCATGTTACAGTGTGCTCTCCTCTCCAGGAGTTCTGGTGTGTCCCATCAGCAACCCTGTGAAGCCCTGGGAGAGGTGTCAGCCATGCGGATCCTGTACCTGCTCTTCCCCTTCTTCCTCCTGCTGGTCCAGGGAGCTGCAGGTGAGAGGGGGAAAGGGGAGATGGGTGAGGTGTTAACCTTTCTGCAGTCACACACTTC